CCTGTGGCCACAGGTGACGGCTTGTCACGTGACTACCTCTGAGCATGGAGTCCAGCATGTGGACATCGATGTCTTTGGAAGCTCTCTCCCTCTGCTCCACTGCTCTGCACAGCTGTCGAGCTGCCGTCACGATGCTGTGCTTTCCGTCATCCGAGGACAGCACTTTCACCATGGCCTTGCACAGGAACGCCGCTGGGGGGGGAGGGGGTGTAAGATTAGGCACATGTGACATTGGGGGGCACTGAGCACAAGTCTGGGATACACCTTGGACAGGATGCCAGTCCATTTAAAAAATAAAAAATAAAAATCACTGTACCACCTTCTGAAAACTTTCACAGTTTAGAGGGGGGGGGGGGGAGAGACATGTTATTTGAAACATCTACTTTTCTACAGATATTTGTCATTACGCAGAACACACTCCCATCCATGAGAGTCAAGGGGAAATCGTCTCTGAGCCGAGACCGTAGCACAGAGGAGGGTAATGGAAAATGCTCTTTAGTTTATAGTGTGTTAGTTCCCTGTGGACTTTTGACCTGCTGAAGACAAACAGGGCATGGTTGGGGGGGGGGGGGCAGTCGGTGAGTGCTGGGCTGCCTTATTTAGTCCCATGGATGCGTGACGTGGGGGCTGCGGCTCATGACCAGCGACATCGCGGGTGTGGCCCATGGCCTGCCGGCTTACAGACCTGCCAGCTTGCAGACCTGCCGGCTTGCAGACCTGCTGCTCAGCTGAATCATTGATGGACTCAGATGACAGCCCGTTCACGCCCTGCTTTTATCAAAGCGGGTTCATTCTCCTCTATGATCACTTTACTCTATGATGTCAGCATGCCCAGGGGGCGTGGGCAGCCAGTCAAGCTCGAACCCCCAGCTTTTTTTTCCCCTCCCTACTCTGGGGATTTTGGTTCCTCTCCTCTGTCACCTTATGGCGTTCTGTCTTTCCTCCTTCCACTTTTTATCCATATCATGCACTTCTTTGCATAAATGATGTACAGTCAGTCCCCGGGTGAAGAATGTCTGACTTAGAGACTCAAACTTTAGATGAAAATTAAGGTTAAATACAAGTAATAACCAATGTATGCACTATTTTGTGACTTTAATGAAAATTGCTAAAGGCGTGCAGTGTTTATCGGCTGAAGGTGCAGTACAATACCATGTGAAGTTACTCTATTACTGTACAAGTCATTATGTACTGTATTACAATTCCGACTTGGCTCTTGCTTAAAAGGCAGACCTAGGGGACAGATTGTTTGTTACCTGGGGACTGTCTGTAATAACGATTTATCACACACTAAAGTCCCAGTGTCGTGAAAGGCGTTATATAAATAAACTGAACTGAATACACAGTCTACAGGCTATACCACTGAAGGTAGCATGTTGCTAGTTATCCATCATTCCAGAGAGACTGGTTACACACCCCTATAGCATTGGCACTAATTAATGGCAGTTCCTGGCAGGCCTGTTGAAAAGGACATTAACGACTCTCTAAATTACAAGACCCTCCATCGAATCGATTTTCTGACCAGAGATCGACCAATATGTCCGCCAGATCGCCCAGGGCAGTCAAACCCGTCAGATGCAACTGTAATGAAAATAAACACCCCGACAGCAGAATCGGGAGCGGGCGTTTACAAATATCTCCACTTACTGTGATTCTCCTGTGTCTGGGTGCTGTCATTTAAAAACTCTATGGAATATTTTCCACTGTCGGCACCTAACAGTTCTTGCTGCTGCTTCAGAATTTCGTCCATCAGTCGGGAATTGTTTCTTCTGAAGATACCTGGGAAGGTGGGGAACGAGGTGAGAGGGGTCAAAAAATCAGAGACAAATTGGACACTGTGAGCTACATTGACAAGCTATCATTTCAAGTCAAAGTGAAAACTGTGGCAGACAATCGGATGTGTTCCTACGACAGGGAAGCACAGGGGACAGCATTGATTGACCGATCTTTTCTTTTCCTCTCCCTTCATCTCTCAGACTTGTGTGCCGCACGGATTGCAATAACAATTGTTCCCCCCGCACACTCAGTGACTAATCATCTCCTATTAGCAACGAATGCTCCACAGAGTGGTTCACAGTCACAAGTACAGGAATAACGGTCTATTTATACACTCTTCAAAACCTTGCCGGTTAAAAACACAAGTCGAATACGCATTCGAAATTAGCTGACATCCAAAAGAAGAAAATTATCCTCCTTATAAAAGCAACCATGGTCACATTTCCTTAAAAACCACCTTACGAAATGCCAAGTATAAGCCACAATATCTGTGCAATACATTAAATTGTGCAACAATAAGAGCACTCGCCTGCAATGATTTGTATGCCAGGCATACAAGAAAAGCCAGTCCTTTCTGGACAGACTGTTAATACCTGAAACACACACAGGAAAATCCCAGCTGCTGCGTGAAGACCAGCCTACAAAGTGATAATCAATATTTATTCTTTACAGATTCAACACAGTGAAATAACAATCCTCTGATTAACCAGCTTAAACCCTGGGACAGTGTACTGTATACAGATACATTTTGGTAGATTATAGTTAACCGGGTGGTAGTGAACATAACCAAGGTGGAATTTAAGTGAACGTCAACCCAAATTACAACCAGAACTGGGCTCCAAGAAAAGTACTAGTAACTAGTAATCTCCATAATCAAGTAACTAGTAACGATTATTAAGAAACACTTATTCAGGACATTGTGGTAAAGGAATCTTGAAGATATTTGACTTAAATCTTAACTACACAACTGGTGCCACACAGAGAAGCGGTATTAATACGTTTGGTAACAGACCTGGGCGCTAAAAACAAGCTGATTTTAAGACACAAGAATAACACACCGTCTTATTATAAATAACAGCGTTACACACCGGTTATGAAATGGGTGCACTAAAGTATCACGGATTACGACTAATCTTGTTAGTTAAGTAGCGGGCCGCCGACTAGTTAACCGGTTAGGTAAATAAACCACTAAGTTACGGCTAATTATACGTAGGGTAACAGTGACAGACTGTAATCCGTAAACAGCGGGAATGAATGGGGTTACGGGGAGGGGGGGTTACGGGGAAAGCGCCCGGTTAGCCCACTCACCCTGGTTATCGTAAACGCTAACGTAGGAGATGCCCACCGCCATGCACCACACCACCAGGTTGGCGATGTCCGCGCAGCGCGGCTCCTCCTCGGTTATCAGCAAGCCAACGTGCACCGGCAGCTTCTCCAGCGCCCGGCCGTCCGCCCCCCAGCGAGGGCGGCGGCAGCCCCGCCTGGCCGCCGGTGGCCCCAGCTTCTTGCGGCTCTGGAAGCCGAGGGCCACGGGCACGAGCAGCGCGGCCACCGCCCGCTTCCACAGCCGCCAGTTCCAGCTGCAGAGGCGCGCGCGGAACCAGGAGACGAGCGCTCGCTGGAGGTGGAGGATGGCGTGCAGAGCCCGCCACGCCAGCTCGTAGAGCAGCGCCATCGCGGAGCCTTTCTCGGGTTTATCGAAGCAGCCTTCACACGGTGTAATAGCAGCTCATACGGCACCGCATTCCAGGCCTTAACGCAACGAACGCGAATGAATGCGATTAGGCAGCTGCCATTGAATTTCACTGCCAACACCTCAAGCCAGCGGCCGCCATCTTTGAGCCGCTCAACTCTGCACTTTGAACCCGCAGCGTGACATGGAGCTCAGTCATTGGACCGCGGGAGCGGCGACCCCGCTGCGTAACGGGGCGGCCCGAAAGGGGCGCCGCGAACCGACTCATGTCTCCGTTTGGCGGCGGCGGCGGGGAAACGCAGGTTAAATTATCGCTTTGAGCGACTGCACTGAGGGCCAAACGTAGAACTGAGTGTCAAATTATTATTATTTAGAGATTTAAATTAACGTACATTACAAATACTGATATATATTACAAGAATAGGACTAAATCAGTTCGTAATACTTGATCATAAATGTTTAAAGGAATATTTAAAGATTATATATTCATTCAAGTAAATATTAAATACAAAAAGAGAAATTAAATGAATTGAGTGTTCTTCTTATACAAGAATGGTGTAGTTGTTTTTAGCATGTTTTTACATCCTGGTTGCCTCGAAATCAAGGTGAATGAACTTTTAATACGCAGTAAGCTGAAATAACACACCTAAAAATAAATGGCTCCATTTACTTTAAAGAAAACAATACTATGTCAGGAGGTCGTAGTAATAGTATTCTTCATTGTCTGTGCTATTGATCCATACAGAGCTCTTCTTGATTCTCAGACAATCTTTGCACCTGCCCAGCAGGTGTTCACAGCAGGTGTTCACAGCAGGTGCACAATTCACAATAATGCACAGTAATCAGAAGATCGACTTGCATTAGGCCTGAGAGGCACCAGTCAATGCCAGTAAACCACTGGCTTCGTTAGAAGAAATGTTTTGCATGATTATGGGGAGATACTCGTTTGTATTCATTCAATACATTTACGATTTAGCCTTTTCTAGGATTAGAAATTTATGCAGAACTAAACAGAGTGTAATGGCAACAGACTCATGGAGGTCATTTAGGGGGGTTTAACATTTGAAAATACTGAATTCAGGCTGTACATGATACTACAAGAATCATGGAAATAATGCTACATCCTAACAAAGTGTCATACAGCTTCTACTCCACTGCTACACAACTCATTGGAAGGTCAGTCAGGTAGCAGCTGTGTGCTTGTGATATACTGCCTACCTCCCATATACATCGCTTTGGACAAAAGCTGAATAGATACATGTAAATCTAAATGTGAAATAGCACAGACAGCAAGTGATAATCATTACACACCATTTTATATCATTTATATACCACAGTCGGCCTGCTCCTTAAAGTGACCATGTCCCCTGTTTGATTTCCATATGTATTTTGGGAATGCCTGTGCAAACAGCCTGTACCTTGAAGGATCGAGCTGTAGGTGCACGCTGACAGTTGTGATTCCCTGCGGACACATTTCAGGAATTTGAGCGGCATGTGAAAATGCGTATGAAATGTAAAAACAGCCACATGCTGGAAATCCTGCTTAAGGCATTTCAGCAAAAAGGAAACCCTCACCTTCACCTTCTGACTCATGGGTTTCAATACTTCAGTTTAGCCAAATTTGAGGGAAATCCATTTTCTTAGCCAAAATTAGAACAAAGATTTTAATCTTGGTTTGAAACTAATTTTGACACTGACAAGCAGCTGACTTGGGAATGAGGAGCTTACTGGAAATTTTCTGTGGAACAGAAATTGTTTTTTTTGGCTCCCTTCAAAACTTTACTGTCTTACTTTGTGTTAAAAGGCTTGGTTTAAATTCCAATTTTATAAGTTCTTTGAATGCTTTGGACCCTGTAGTAAATGTAGTAAAATGTTCAACAGACAGTGTGTTTATTTTCACTTGATAACATGAGAAATCCTTGGGAGTTACTGGGACCCATCTTTTTAAATCTATGTGAAGGTTCTGGAATAGCGACCTTTGTGCTATCAGCTTTTATACTGAAAACAATGATATAGTTACACATCACAGCAAGTGACCCTGTCTGGGATCTGTTAGTTGGAAAATGAGTGGGTGAAAGGTACCATCTGCCAGATGTCTCAATGCTTCACTTGTATACACATCATAAAAGTGACGTACAAAATCCGAAACTGACATGTCAGAAGATTTGTCAGCTCAAGTTGCAAAATAAAAAAACAATATTTGGCAAAACCCATTAAATACCAATATATTGTACATTTTCGATACATTAGGATTTAATTATGCGTCAGTATAAAACCGTTTAGATATTTCAGTAATGCTGAACTCCAAATGGCAAAGTGCTTCTTGAATACAACTAAGAATAAAACATATGACTGAATCTGTATTGCTACCATAAAAATGGTTTAAAAATCGCCCAACCACAGACACAAATCCCGTAAGGCCCGATCACTTTTCGGTAACCACAGATCGATTAACAATAATTTAAAAAAAAAAACACATAGCGATGCTTTCCTTCATCATCTACTTTCGACTTCCCACGGGCTCAGCTGTGTGGCAGGCAGTAGCAGTCGCTACACGATTCCTCCGGTCTCAGATTTTGGATTTCCTGGTGTCGGGAAACCTGATAGGGCTGACTGGGTAACGATCAGTTTAGGCGATTCAAATACAATTGACAGGAATTAGTGGCGTAACAGTTGTCGTTCTGACTGGGGACAAGTGCGAGGGCAGTAAGTAGCGACATAAAAGTAAGATCGCGGCTCCGTTTTGCCGTCCGGCTTTTAGTTAGCTTGCCAAGGCAGCCTCCTGAGTCTCTTGGTATGTCCGCTTCGGCCGGCGGCGCCTCTCCTGCTGGCCAGGGATCGGCTCTCGCCGGGCCTGGCTCGGGAATGTCCATGTTCCGGTGGCTAGAAGTTCTGGAAAAGGAGTTCGACAAAGCCTTCGTGGACGTGGATTTGCTGCTGGGGGAGATCGACCCGGACCAGGCCGACATCACCTACGAGGGCCGCCAGAAGATGACGAGTCTCAGCTCCTGCTTCGCGCAGCTTTGCCATAAAGCGCAAACCATATTTCAGATGAACCACAAACTAGAGGTAAGCACGAAGTTTGACAGATTACCCAACGGGCAGCTTTCGAAGAAGGAAAAGATTCTTAGATATTAAAAGGTTGTCAGATATAGTGGGATGGAATCGAAATGCCGTTAGAGCAGGAAGTCCTAATTTAGCTCTGGCTATCAAATGATGGACGGTAACTAGCTGTTTGGGGACACATGGCTGAATTTTGGATAACAGACTCCAGAGGAGCAGAAACTATACCTAATTGCTAAGAGGAGGCTTATTATCAGAAGCAAAGGACAGGAGGCGGGGGGGACACCGGGTACCCGGTTTGGAGATTGATGGCAGTGAGCTCCATACATGTTCGTCTTATCTTACATATTTTGTAAATATCCTGTAATGGTAATATTGGTTTAGAATAGGAGCAGGGCGTAGCAGAGCTCAGTTATTATAGTTTCGGTGTTTGTATGTGGTGGCATGTTTTTAATCAAATAACATTTCAGGAGACAGTGTGTCTTGCATGTTGTGACGAGTAGCATTCTTCAGTCTGCCAGATCTTCAGAGACATTGTCCCGTCTTCCTCCTTATTTTCTTCCTCTCCCTCGCAATCGCGGCCATAAATGTTTTTTGATGGAGCAGCCTGGGTGATGCCTATCGGCGAAGTGTAACCCTAACCCTGCACCATGGGACCTCTGCCAAGCAGGCGCTGACAGTGTCATCTGTGCTCATAAATGCGTTAAGTCCGACAGCTGAGACGCAGTTCCCATAACATGGAGAAAATGGACGTTGCGTTTGACCTGTCATGACGGCACTGCCACATTGTTCATAAATCCATTATTTATTTGTTTGTTTGTTTGTTTGTTTATATATACCTGATGGCAACCGACTGAGGAAGAACTCGCCTAAAAATAATGCTTAGATACTGTTGACTAAATTGGGGCTTAACACACATTGCAATGGGGTGGAAAAAGTGTTTACTTTGTAGTTTATTTATAAAAAAAACCCAAAAAAGCTGAACAACACAGTCCTCTCATTTTACAAGGTAAAATAATCTGAAAGAGAAAAGGTGATTTTAAGAGATTTTGGGCCCCATGAAATCTTATCATATAAGGCCCCCAACCCAGATCGATCCAATTATGTTGAAAAATTTTTAGGGGTTCTGTCACTCAGGGGCCCTTGGATTTGTTCTGTCCCCCCAACAGTGCCCCCGTCTGTTACTGATGGTGTTGCAGGATGGAGGCAGAACTGAAACCTACAACCATCTTAAGCACAGAATGGAAAAAGTTATCAGGCTGGTTTATAGTGGGTGGAATTGGGGGAATGCAGTTTGTGTCGAGGCAGAATAGGGTTTGGAGAGAGAGCTTCAGGCCAGCTGTGCTGGAAAAGGCGCTATTAAGCACTTGGCATTTTATGGGTCTAAATTTGCTGTATGAATTTTTTAAATTAGAAATGGGGTAAAAGCATGGAGATGTGTAGGTTGGCTGGATGAAGCTGCAGCCCCCGAAATAAACAGAAATAAAGGACGATTGTGTTTTAGGCTGTTTCTGCAATGGAATCAGCAGTGCTGACTGCAGCGGGCCTTTCAATGGAGCCATTATCGCAGTATGGATGAAAGTGGGATTTTCTTCCCTCCTTCTGAAGGGTTATGTTAATTTTTCCATGATCAGCATGAAAGCGATTTTGTAAAAATCGTTCGGACGTAAACAAGAAACCCAGCGTGTTTGTTTTAGTGTCCCAGTTAAACCTGATGTTTATTAAGTTACACTTACAATGTGATATCATCGCATAATTGAAATTATTATGATAATTTTATTAAATATTATTCAGTAGTATTTTAATCATTAGGCTGCTATCTTCTACCAAATTTCTTGCAGTTTCTGGCAATTTCTCACTACTAGTAACATATGCCAAGGATTATGTTTAGTTTAGTTTTTATTGTCCTGGGATGACAAACTGGTCAAGTCTGTATCTTAATCAGCCTTTAACAGCCTTTTCAGTCATACTGCTTGTTTCTGAAGATTCCACAGCTCTTCAGACGGCTTGGCAGATGGTATCTGCAGAGGGGAAGTTCAGTCAGAGAGCTATCGTTCTGCAGACCAGGAAAGACCTGCCCCGCAGGTCTGTAGGGCACATCCAGTTGGGCTTTAGAGGAAGATGATTGAAAAGCTGTGTCAGCTCAGGGGACGGGGGCACCTGAGTGACAGGTGATGAGGGGGGCTCCCAGCTGAGCTCTGGTCACTGAGGGGGGTCAGAGCTGCTTAAGCATGATTTGAAGATTTGGAGATTTCTGTGCTTAAACTGTAGACAAGAGATGAGCTTCAGTTCTGTTCCCTCATTGGTTAACTTGACAATCCAGTCAAAAGCCTCTTTTTAATCATTATCATCATCAATTTGATCGCTTTCTTTGGAGGGAGCTTTGGGAATAATTTATAATTTTCGCCTATTACTAGCAGTGCTATTAGACCAACCTCTTCTATGATTGCTTTTGAATAATCACCATAAATCACCGTACTTTCATTTGAGACACCTTAGCCATACAGATACGCCAAAAATGGTTTGAATCAAGCACTTGTATGATTGGCTACAGTTGTCCAATTGCCAAGCTGTGTGTTACCTTAGTGCAGTGGGCTCTGTGCTCACCTGCTCTGGGCGCAGTGCCACGGGCCAAACCGGTTGCCAGCCCACCTGTCATCTGGCACAGCAGAATGGCATCAGCCACACAGCCCATGTGGCGCAGCTCGGAGCATGCCCAGTCGGCTCTGTGCCGGCCTGCCGTTTCCTGCAGGGACAACATCGCTCTGCCAACTGGTTCCTGTCAATCAGAGGAAGTCTCATCCACTGGTGCAGCTGCTGGAGGGGGTGACAGCTGTGCTCCTTAAACCACCCCCCGATGGTGATGGGGGAGGGCGGAAGCTTCCTGGGGTGCCCCCCCACCTCGCTGCCCCCCCCCGCTTGGTCACACACTAGGCAGAGTGAGAAAGCCATGGGGGTTCTTTAGCGTTCTCGCTTACCTTGAAGGCATGACAGCATCTGTCTCCCAGTGGCTTGCTACGGTTATGGCGTTGCTTAATTTCCTGTCCCTGTATTTGAGCTAATGATTTCACCACTACCAGGAAATCACTCTTGTCATGACCGTCTGAAGAAGACAAAAGGAGATGCAAGTTAGGAACCCTAGTGGATGAAAAGCAGGACATGAATATTTCAGACCTCTTTATTGGTTGTGTTTAGGCAGACGTTTTGGTTATCTGGTTTGTGTGTGTTCTGCCAGACTCAGGTGGGCTGTTCGAGGACAACATAACCGGAAATAATCAAATAAATGTCAAATAAATCTTAGAAAAACATTTCTCTGTTATTCCCACGCTGTATGAAATGGTGAACGTGTCAATTTCAAGGGCTCCTTTGCCACCACACGCCCTGCCACTGTGCCGGATGCAGGGCTGGTGCCAGGAGGCTCCAACCACGTGGAGGAAATCAGCACTTTAATTGCGAAATGCTCCCTCCACCCCCGGAAATGTGGGACCAGAACAGATGTGTTTGCGCAAGGCTGTGCCACCGAAGCTGTCAGACTGGTCGCACTCGTCACCGTCGTAGATAAGAGGGGTCCGGAAATGAGGATGAAGTCCTCCACCTGTACTTTGAAATAAGTCCTGATGACTTGGTGAGGTTATTTTACAGACACCGGTACTCACGATATACAAGAAACAAAAGACGCTGAATCGGGCTCCCGCCCGCCGTTCAGGAGCTGGTCAGCATCTGGCGGGAATCGTCAGTGAGGTGGGGGTGGAGCTTGGCCGACCTGACATCTCGACCCTTCCGTGTCCTTCACAAGGCCCAGGTGGTGGACCTCAAGTCGGAGCTGACGGACGTGCAGGCCGAGAAGGTGGTGGTGGAGAAGGAGGTGCATGACCAGCTGCTCCAGCTGCACGCCATGCAGCTGCAGCTGCACGCCAAGGCAGGCCAGGGCACGGATTCCGGCTCCATCAAGGCCAAGCTGGTGAGTACCACCCCCACCCCCTCTGCCCCCCCCAGTGCCGGCACTCTATCTCCCATGGCCAGTCTCCAAGCTCCTTCGTGTCCCTTCGTGCTGATGCCACGGGGCTCTTCGGGTCAACTTGGCTCGCAGCTGCTCCTTCGCAGCAAGCGCCGTCTATCCAACCCGTCTAGCCCAGCCTCCAGTCCTGAGGTACCACATCAAAACCCTGATCTCCAGCTTGGAGGCTGATCTCCTGCTTGGAGGCTGATCCTCCCCAAGCCTGGAAATGTGAAAAATGCTAGGATCGGCTCAGCATAAAGTCACGCTTTGATCCACACACTGCGGTGGTATAATGCCATAATGACATAATATATTTCACGTTTACTGGTGGAGAAAAAACAAGCTGGAAGTTTGATGATGTAGCAAATTCAGTGGCTTGGAAGAACATTGAATTCTTCAAATAAACATGGATAGAATCTTTTAAGTATTACTGAAATATTTACATTTTTGTGTCATCAAATGATATAATTGCAGGCTTTCCATATGTAAAGAATGAGAGGGGTTATTACCCGGAAAGAGATGAGTGTTTAGCTTAACGTATGGTGTAATCGAGTCTGTTACTTAATCTTAAGCCATCTGCTATGAGCGTATGCAAATAAAAGCGTTAATTACCAGCTGCTGTATGGTGGCTGTGTTAATGCACTGAACACTAACTCACTTTCACATAAGACAGGCTTGCGCTAACTGCACATTAACATTTCTTTGGGATTGGGGGGGGGAGCTGGGCTGTGATTTCAGGTTCCCGTTTGCCTGATGGTCCCACCAGCATTAAGGAGAGTGTCGCCCCTCTAGACTGATTACCGTGCTGACTTTCTAACCTTTGACCGCTTTTTTTCTCTTCCTCCCTTCCTCAACAACCCCTCTCCAAGTCTGTCCCCTCAGTGGAAGATATGGTAAGTCAGTGCGGGTCACTGCCCCCCCCCC